CGTCGTAGTCATTTCCGTTCACAATCCCCGGCGGAAGTAGAATAACCACAATTCTCTACAACTATCAGGAATGCTATATTCTCCAGCAGCAGTCAGGGATTTATTTTCCCAGACTCAGAAATACCCCAATAGCATTTCATGTACATACATCATGACATGCGCATACATATCACATACAACATAATCTCATTTATTTTGAGAACATCATCCCACCAGGCATTTCATGCATCACATATAATTAACCCTGTTATCTTTTAAGGAAAGACGATTATCTTCAATAATCCCAACAGTTATATAGGTCATGTCTGCAGACGACTAATGGAAACTCAGTTCCCAAAACCAAATGGGTCAACTAATCTACAATCACTTCGAAGTAACCCTATGATCCAGGTTCTTTCTGATAGCCCTACTATCCAGGATTTCATCCCGAAGTAACCCTACTACCCAGGTTCCTTCCCATAAGCCCTACTATCCAGGCTTTCATTTCTAGGTAACCCTACTATCCAGGTTCCTTCTCATAGCCCTACTATCCAGGCTTTCATCCCAAAGTAACCCTACGACCCAGGTTCCTTCCCATAAGCCCTACTATCCAGGCTTTCATTTCGAGGTAACCCTGCTATCCAGGTTCCTTCTCATAGACCTACTATCCAGGCTTTCATCCCGAAGTAACCCTACGACCCAGGTTCCTTCCAATAAGCCCTACTATCCAGGCTCTCTTTTTGGAGCAACCCTACGACCCAAGTTCCTTCTCATATCCCTACTATCCAGGCTCTCATATCGAAGTAACCCTACGACCCAAGTTTCTTCTCATAGCCTTACTATCCAGGCTCTTATTTCGAAACAACCCTATGACTCAGGTTCCTTCTCATAGCCCTACTATCCAGGCTCTCATTCCGAAGTAAGCATACGACCCAAGTTCCTTCTCATAGCCCTACTATCCAGGCTCTCTTTTCGAAGCAACCCTACGACTTAGGTTCCTTCTCATAGCCCTACTATCTAGGCTCTCATTCCGAAGTAACCCTACGACCCAAGTTCCTTGTCATAGCCTTACTATCCAGGCTCTTATTTCGAAGCAACCCTACGACCCAGGTTCCTTATCATAACCCTACTATCCAGGCTCTCATTTCGAAGCAACCCTACTATCCAAGTTCCTTCTCATAGCCTTACTATCCAGGCTCTTATTTCGAAGTAACCCTATGACCCAGGTTCCTTCTCATAGCCCTACTATCCAGGCTCTCATTTCGAAGCAACCCCACTATCCAGGTTCCTTCTCATAGCCTTACTATCCAGGCTCTTATTTCGAAGTAACCCTACGACCCAGGTTCCTTCTCATAGCCATACTGTCCATGCTCTCATTTCGAAGCAACCCTACTATCAAGGTTCCTTCTCTCTTGTCTTGAGATAACAATTTACAACACGGTAAGACCTGGACCCGACCAGTTACGACCGAGTTCACCTTTCCCCAGTAAGTCACTGTATAGCCTAGACCCTGACCAGATCTACAGTTCACTTCCACCTTCTTAATCAATAATTAACTCCCTAGTAGAGTAATGGATAATCGAAGCTCTTATACCATATTTCCTAAGACATAAATCAACTCTCCTCAGTGAGGTCCTCCTCCGCGGCAGGTATAGGAATTCTCGCAAAGGAATCTCTTATGAAACCAATATCTTCTCTAGATGGCATCTTTAAGCCCATCCCTGACGGTTCTCCGTCACCTTCCAAATGGCATCTGTAAGCCCATTCCTGATATTATCGATCGACATTCACTTCAAGCGAGTGCAAATTTCTGGGTACTCTAGTGTTCAATCATATTCCACCTTCAGATCACGAAAGGCAGACAAGCCAATCTATATCCTCAGTTCTAAGAATATTGAACAGGGACAACTATTGTACCCCAAAATTTTCCCTCCCATGTTACTCAACACATGTTCATTAAGACCCTCAACTTGCTCAAGGATACCCAAGAGTGGACCAGACAAACTCTCTCCTAAAGCAATGAACCTCCAACTAGGGTTTCCATTTTCATCAAGAGAGGTGAACTCCAAAGGCCTCACATCCTTTCCATGGTCCTAATGTGTTCATAAGATCATACATGTCAAGTTTCATACCTTGCACAAGAAGTTTGCTCAGTCAACTGCTTAGATGCTTGAGAATCGACTGTATTAGGTCAAAAGTCAACTATGACCCACATACAGTCAAACTTCAAAATTTTTGGTCAACATCAACATTTTGAAGTGATATCCATCATTTTATCAAGGGTTGATCATGATTCCTCAATGAATGCTCCTAATTCATCAAAACTCAAAAGTTGCTAAATTAGGGTTTCTTAGGAAAAGTCAACCAAACTTTGACCAAGCATAACTTTCTCATACTTTATCAGAAATTTCTCATCCAAGGGTCATTTTGAAGGGAATTCAATTTCGTACAACTCATCTTCATCCCTCAAGTTCAAAAAATGCACTCATAAAAAGATATGAATTTCTACATTATAGGTCCTTTTGAAAAGTCAACAAAAACACCTTTTGGGTCAAAGCTTATTACATGAACATGGATGAAACAAAAAATTATGTTTAGGGGACATCCTAAGTTTTCTAAAAAGCCCAAGAACACCTCTATAGGGTTAAAATTGGAAGAGATATATATTGTCAAAGTTGACCATTTTAGGAAAATTGCCAAAAGTCAAATGTGCTCAAAAATGCATTTTTTATCAAAAGGGCCTAGCATTTCAGGATTGTATCTTGTTAGGGACATGGTACACGACCCAAATCAGCAACCATATATTATTTGCTCTATTTATTGATTTTATTTTGATTTTTATTTATTAAAAGTCACATTAAATCAAATAAATGAAAAAATATCAAAGATTGGTTTTTTGATATGATTTTATGAGAATCAAATCTAATTGAGCTGGCATAATCAGATCAAATCGAATCAAGGCAAATTGAGGCAAAAATAGTATGATTTGGATGGTTTTGAAAAGATATCATATGGCAAGCAAATTACATTCAATCTCCATAATTCCAAAAGATTCAGGTCATTTTTGTTGCCCTAATTCATCACACTACATATAATGAACAAAAACAATGTAAAAGAACAAGGGTTGCAGCCGTGAGAACAGAGAAAGAAAACTAAATTTTGGCAAAAAAGTGGTGGATTATTTTCTCACATAGAGGGTGATTCAAGACATTCCAAAGTCTCCAATCGCCTCCTGGACATCTTCTGAAGCTAACATAATCCATTGCAAGCATTCCCAAGCTCAAAATCGTCCTATAGTCTTCACATGGATTGCCTTTTTTCTCAAAATCGATTACGACAATTCTTGCATCCTAAGCATGTTTTAATGACATGTTTGTGATTGTTAACATATTTGCAAGTTGTTTGAATGATTTAATTGACGTTTTAACGCATATATTGATGATTGCCATGGTTAGGGTTTAAGAATCCGTTTTGGGGCTTCTCTGTATAGATAAAATTAGGCCAAGAAAATGATGCCATGGTACTCGTGAGATCAAGACGAGTTGATTGGCGTATTTAGAATTAATTTATCACGCGTTGTATGGATTTTTGAAGATTGTAGGTTTATGGCTATGGAGCTCAGTCCGTATGTATAAATCTGATACCTAAGACGACGTAGAGGGAAGAAGACGATGACTCGTCACCCCTCCATTGGTCCGTTTGAATAATCACGCGTTTTTTTTCCAGCCTATCCACTTTGTTTTATAAATTATGATTGGATCTTATTATTATTACAACTAAGCAACGTAGCACAGATGGCTAAGGCAAACGTGGAATGAGTGGGAGGACCTGGGTTTGATCCCAGGTCCCAACATTTTCTTTATTTTCTTAACATATGATTGAAGATTCCATGCGCTCCAAGGCCAGATGTCCATCATGCGCCCAACTGACCCAGCCACTGGATCGGTTCCAACGCAGATCCAATGTTCAAACGAGGAAGGATCATGGTACACTCTCCAAGCGCAACAACACAGGATCATGCATAGGAGTGGGCTTGGCCATAATGGGCCTGGATAAATTCAGAAATACACCCCCCTATTTGCTCATCATACAGGCCCAAATTCCATTCTTTTTTTTATTTCAATTCTTTTTATTACTTAATTAACTATTTCTTTTTCAAATAACTCCAAAAAATCATGTTTTTTATTTAATCAAAAAATCATAAAAACAACAAAATCATTTTTTTTCTCATAAAAATATTTTTATTAATTAATTAGTTTAATTAAATTTAGGCAATTTAATTATCTTTTTATTATAATTCAAAATAATTAGAATTAGGGTTTAATTTTGTACATAACCTAGTTTTCCCTAAAAAATAACATAAATATTTTCTCATATTAGATTTTTTAGGTTGTCCAATTATTTCTCGCATTTAATTCGCCGCATATTTTTTTTTTAATTTTCCTTTTTATTATTATTGTAACTGCTTCGAGTTTGTAATAGATTTAAGTAGGGTTTTAATTCCGCATTTTATTTTCAGTCAAAAATAATTATGTATCTACCCAAAGCCTTGTAATAATTAGGACTCTAACTTCTCGCATTTTTATTTCCGCAAACTATAAACTGCTTAGATGTATGTATAGGATTGTATGGAAAGACAAATTGAAATTAAAACAGTAGAAAACCCTAATTGTGCAAAGATAATTAACTGAAAAAATACACTTGCACATGCTCATTCCTAGGGTTTAATCCACTCCGGTTGCCTTCGGTAAACAATCATAAAGTATAGGTGGTAACTTAAGGATGTGGATTCGGAGAAAACAACATGGATTAGGTGTTTTGGAATACCTTGTCATGCATGGTCTATTAGATTCTTTGAGCTTCTCACTTCAACTATTGGCATTTTCATTTATTGTGATGATAATACTTTGAATCTATCGAGATTAGACGTGGCTCGTTTCACGATCAGGACTAGATGCGCTAAGGTTATCGAGGAAGTTTGTAATACTCAGATAGATGGAGCTGTTTTTAGGATTAAGATTATGGAAGAAGCTCAGGGTCCGACGGAATTTCTTGTTAAGAGAAATAAGGCGGTGTCTATTGAAGACTCAGATAACAACCATGAAGACTCAGATGATGACTCAGTAGTGGGGGTTGGAATAGGAGATGTTAACACGAGTCTTGAGGTTATCAATGAAGAATATGAAGCATTTTTCGAGAATGAGGAGGTGGTGGAAATTCATCATGATATCGTACATGATGATGTGATAGATGAAGGGAGAAAGGAGGAAACGACGCTGATGGTCTTCGGGAAGGAGAATAACTTTCCGGTTTGTTCATATCCACAGTCTATTCAACCCTCTGCAGAGAAAAGTTGTTGTTTGGAAGGTGGTGACTTGGTGAAAGTCAATTCTGACACCGGTCCTAGGGCTATGGTCTATAGCATCATTGAGGAGCAGGTTTCGTGTGTTAATCTTATGGTGATTTCGAGGAAGTCTAAGCGGTGTTTAGAGAAAGGAAATTTGTCTTGTTCTGAAGGGGACTTTTTGGGTGGACATGCGAAGGTTGTTTCTAGAGGCCCAATAACTTTTGATGAGGCCTGTTTGAAACTGAAAAATCAGAAGCCCAAAAAGAAGAAAGTAAGATTTCTTAAGGATATTCACCATCAGGAAGTGGCTCAATCCACATACTTTGCAATTATTCAACCCATAAAAGGTAAAAGTGCGGATCAGTCCCAGTGGTATGAAAAAGCTAGCAGAAAGTGCATGGCGGTGAAGGTTGGCGAGGATTTGTCGATGGCTTTCAACTCTCTTAGAACCAACTGCGACAAGCCATCGTCTTCAAGCGATGATCTATTCTCAGAAGGTGCGGTCTTGTGTTGCGATTCAACAACGTTGTCCGATGTTAATCAAGGCAATAACAAATTTTGGGAAAACATGGAGTCTGAGGTGGGAAGGATTGTGTGGGAAACCATTTCCAGATTAGGGATTACAATTGATATTGATAAAGTGGAAGCGATCGAAGCAATCAAATTAATGGAAAATAGAGACAAAGAGGGCATGAATAGAAAGGAGGCGAAAAAACACAATTCATCATGAATATACTCTCTTTCAACATCATAGGTGGAGAGAGTAGGATTAAGAGGAAGAGGATCAGTTCGCCCATTCAGTCTGGGAATTTTGACATTTGTTTCATCCAAGAAACCAAGATTCAAGTGATGGATAGTTCTCTAGTTGCAGAATTCTGGGGCAATAAGGAGGGAGTGGACGAGTCGTGGAGCGGAGGGAGCTTCTGTAGGTATGTTGGTTATGTGGAAAAAGAACATGTTATCTCTTAATTTTAGTTTTAGGGGTGAAGGGTTTGTGGGAGTTAATTCTTTGTGGAATGGGAATTCTTATAATTTTATGAACATTTATGCTTAGTGGTTGTCCTCTAGTCCCAAAAGATCTAAAATGACCCAATCGGATGTTGCCTCGGAAAAAGATCTTTAAGGCTTTAGGATGATTACTAAAATTTCCTAACATTGCTTTTGTGATCGTACTTGTCGCTTCAAACGTCCCTTAAAACTCCAATGGCGGTGCTACCTATTCCTTAATAATAGGATAACACTGTCTAAAGGAAAACGAACAAACTTTTTTCGAGTAGGTAGATTAGCTCCTAGGTATTTGCTCAAACAAAACTTTTCACACAAACACTTTTCAAAACAATTTTCAAAACAACTTCGTCACACTCTTGAGGACTGTTACAAGGGTTATCACGAAGTAAAACTTTTTCAAACACAGAAAAGCAATTTAAGAATGAGCAAGTACCTAAGAGCCCATGGAAAACCGTGGATAGAAAGGGTGCTAACACCTTCCCTTTCTATAATCTACCCCCCGTACTCAGAAATATCTCGAAAAAGGTTTTTTATGTTCTTTTTCCTTTTCCTTTGTTGGATGAAATAAAAGTCGGTGGCGACTCTTGCTTACCGCACATTTGTGAATACAAAATACAAACCAGTATAACAGTCGGTTCTGCCACCGTATCACAGGGAGATTGTTAGAACAAATTTTAGTTCTGATCATATCTTAGAGTTTTGATGATAACAACGAAATAAATTTTGTAAAATATATTTTATACTCTGATGTGCATGTTCTCTAATTTAGATGATGTTCTGACTCATTCATCTCAAAAGAGAAACATCATTCTACGCAAGTATAAAGCAAACTCTGAAGGAAGCACTCAAGGCAAACTCTGATGAAAAGCAATCTTAAGCAACCTCTGATAAAGCTAGCTGAAGCAAAGATTTGAAAGAAGCACGCTGAAAACAACATCTGATTATGCAAGCTGAAGCAAACTCTGATAAACATAAATTGAAGAAAAATCTGAGAGAAGAAAAGATAAAAGCAAACTCTGAAGTGGCAACGCTGCAAGCAAACTCTTAAACTTCCAGATACAAGCCCTGACAGTATCGTTGGTCATTTAATGCTAAGACGGCTAACGCACTCAAGTGGTCCTACACACGAGAATATTGAAAACATAAAGACCAAGCTAACACGCATCATTAATGCATACACTCTTTTCAAGGCAGTAACAGTCAAGACTGGAAGCTATATATAGAAGATCATTTGTTTCAAAGAAAGGTTACTGATCCATGAAAAACATATTAAAGCTCACTATTTTCATTCTTTTAAACTAATAGTATATAATGGGTAATTATTAAGTATTGGGCAACAATCTTAGTGATAAATCACAGTTTGTGATACAACTTATTAGAAGCATTCTGATTTACTACAGTTAAGAGATGATTTTTGTAAGTGTTCCTTGAGAGACCAGTCGGGTCAAATTTCTCAAGAGGGCTAGGACTAGTTGAGTCTTAGAGGTGTTAGTCACTTGCAGTTGGCTTGTGCATTGTATTGTTAGTCACAACAATTTAGTTGTGCATTTGTAATCAGTTTGATTATAGTGGATTAAGTCCTCGTTGAGAGAGGCGAAATCACCTTAGCGGATGGACTAGAGTAGTTTGAGTTTCAAAAGAATCAGGATAAAAATACCTATGTCCTTCCATTGGAACTGATTCCATTTGACTCTCATCTAATCACCTTCAAAAATTATGTTTTTATTTTCAATTGTCAACGCCTCATGGCATGGATTTAAGCCTCGTCAGGTTTGTAGTAGTTGTGTTAGACCTTTTAAATGTGTCATTTCTTTGGTCACTTTATTAAACAAGAAATTGCTTAAGCTGAGGCATGAGACATATTATGAACACATCTTTTTGGTTGGAAATCTCGGTAAGAAATTTGAGATTATTCTCAAGTTACTCATTAAGTTTCCCAAATTTTTGTGCTGAAGTCATTTGTTCTTGTTGGATTCACCAGAATGAAAGTTATTTTAATAGGTTTTGGCTAATGAATTATCATTTGAAGTCACTTTGTTGTACTTGAAGTACAAATATTATTAACTTTTTCCTGCCATATCTCATTGTTTAAGACATGTTAAAACATTGGCATGTAAGACTTTGAAGAGAAGTCATTGCTACTGTAAACTCTAAAAACTGTTCTCTAAAGATAATTAAAACAACAATTATCTACGAGATGTTTCTGTTTGGTACAACGGTTGTGAATGACTAAGACAACACATCAGTTTGGTAGTGGCTGAAAATCGTTCTCATAGGCTAAGACAATAATTTTCTTTGAGGACGAAAATATTATAGTGACAGTGATCTAAGCTCACGAAACATGTTATAAATGATCAAGTTATATTAAGCATAAATTCATATTCTTAATCTAAACCCAAGAATGCTTCTCAATAGCATATTAGATTCACAAATATTATCAAGATATATCAATAATTAACACCATGATCGAAAATAATACCTATATGTCATAATAGGGTATACATTAAACTCCAACAAAAGAGAATTTAGTTATTCATAGTAAAAGTAGCAATACAAGGTGTAGAAGGAGAACAACATTAGATGATATCTCAACCATTTATTGATTCAATTTAAACCTCCCTTGGGTGTAACAAACCACTCAAACTCTCTCTCATTGGTGTGAGAAAATAAAACTAAAACTATATATCAAAAACTAACTCATTTTTACAACCAAATGCTTTGTTTATAGATTTCTGATTCTATCGTTATTCATTGAGCAAAGTGTGGATCACCCAACAAATTTGTCTTATTTTACAAAGAAAGCTTTTTGTCTCAAATTCGTTGATTGAGGGGTGATCGCCCCAACATATTTGATCAGAGTCTTTGTCTCTAATGCACTTTCAACTTCGTTTTTTTACTCCATTTTTAACGACTTCTTGATCCCTTTCCTTTGCTTCCTACTTATCATTCCTATCATGTTCAAATAATGATAAATTAGGATCAATCCTTAATTGTAGGACAATATGCATTAATGTATAAATCAGGAGTTTTATGTGTTACTTCATATACAAGTAACTGAATAAGTGTTTGAAATTAATAGTAATATTTAGATGAAATACACACTTATCATGATTGTGATCATTGTTTGTTCATAGAACCGACAATTTAAAATCTTAAAATCCGAAAGCTTCAAAACAAAAGTTTTCAAATCTTAAAACATGTCTTGGGTCATAATCAAGTTGAAGCTAAAGTTTTAATTTTTCTTTTGATGTAAAATTCTTTATAACTTTGAGATTATTTACCTGATTTTTGAAAGTTTATTTTGTTTGTACAAAACAATCTACGATGTATCAAGTCCAACAGCCGTGACTTCATCTGTCTGTTTATCGCCATAGCATGTTTTGCCATCTTTGTTGCCCATGAACGATTCTCAATATTTCTGTCCACTTTCATTTGCATGGTCATGGCCATAGACACATGTGTTTTCTGCCCAAATGAAACATCAATTAAGCAAAACTCTTTAATGGTTATGTGAAATATTAACTATGCATGACATGACATGAAATCATTTTATTTTGTGATGAAATGAGACAAACCTGTGGACCAGAAATGCTTTGTCTCAATAAACCAGTGCTTCTTAAATCAATGTGAGTTTGTTTTTCTTTGAAGATGCGACACAAAGAAACAAGAGAGGTAGTTTCATTGTGTCCATTGATTTGTAGAGGAGACTTGCCCAATTGAGAAACAGTGTATTGATTGGAGCCTCTTGTATGATTTGATGTGGAGAGAATCCAAGATTGAAGTATTACCACAAGATTAGTTACTTTCCCTGCTAATCTCGACTCAAAAACCACAATAAATTGAAAATTCTCCATCAAAATATTTAACATAACCGCATTCTTAAAATCGACAATTTTAAAGGAATGAAAGGAGTAATTAGAAAGTTGAATTACCTTTTTCAAGATTGAATCTTCGAGTGATTGTCCAGTTGATGGCATCCCATATGCATATTGTGCAGTCTTCAGAAGAAGATATTAGGCATGTCCTACTAGATGTCATTGCAATAATGGCTCCACTTCATAGTTGGGAAAAAATTAAGTTGATTATACTAAGAGTTTTTAATTATTTTATAAAAGAATTTAAAAAAATAATCACTTTGAAGTTTTCATAGATTTCTTAAAATTCTTTAATAAAAAATAAGATTATGAAAAAATAATCTAAAAAGTATTTTGAATGAGAAGTTATGTTCACTATCTTGGTGAAAATAGTCATGATAATTGACCTCTTTTTTTCTTACAAAAGTTTTTGGTTGAGTTGGGATCCAAAAGCTCACCAAATTTTGATAACTCTCAAGACTCAAATATCACTTACAAAAATATTTACATATTATTTACTATACTGGATAAAAGTACAATAAGTGTAACAACTTCAAATGAATTAGACTATCAAAGGTTTAGGGTTTGTCGAGGATTAGAGCTAGTTCACATGCGATGATATGAGAAGTTTTACATGGGTGACTTCTTTGTGTGTTGTGTGATAATTGAGGAAGGTCTTGAGACAAGGGGGTGAAGCATACGCATTATCCTTCTAAAGTCACCCCTTTATAAGTTCAAGCGTCTTTTATCTGGTTCGATCGCCCTTGATTGGATCAATCATTTTACTTCTCATTTCTCCGTCCATAGTGTATTTGTGGGTGTAGCGTGTAATAAGTCCACAAACAATGTCCAAGACGTCGTGGGATCTAACCTTCTCTTTTGGACTTCTTTGTGTGTTAGAGATTGTTCCTTCATTATCGAAGTTCTAGTGTATTTATAGTTTTCCAAAAGAGAAGGTTAGACCCCACGACGTCCTAGACACTGTTTGTGGACACAAACACACGATATAGGCGAAGAAATGGAAAGTAAGATGATTGATACGATCAAAAGACGATCAAACCAAATAAAAGACGCTCGAACAGATAAAGAGGTAATGTCAGAAAGATAAGGTGTACGCTTCACACCCTTGCCTCAAGACCTTCCTCAATTATAACACTATATTTACCAACGATGCCCTCACATCTACAATGTTGTCAACTAAACCAACATTCCTTAGCATAAATTGTTAGAAGTTATGAACTAACCTCTTTATATAACTTGTAACAATTTATGATGAAATAAAATTATATCATAAAAAAATTTAAAAAAAATGAAAAGAAAAATAATTTCTACGGATAGAGGATTTAATCTATACACTTGCATGAATAGGATATTTGGTTTATAAAAGATGAGAAGTTACATGTGTCATTGAATACCTGTGTCCTTTGAGTTCAGGTGATTGATCTCCTCTAATAATTGAATTAAAACCTTCTTCCAAACCAATATCAAGTTTGTTGACAAATATTGTTCCATTTTCTGTACCACAAAACAAAAGACTTTCACCTTCATGAAGGGTAATGCAAGTTATTGCCAAAGGATAGCCTTGAGTTTGCACAAGCATTCCAGTGATAAAGTCCCAAACCTATTATGTTCAACAAAATATTCCATCTTAGTTAAATCATGCTCATTAATTTTTACATTAGCAAGATTAATTTTAACATAGTTTCATGATCACCTTGCATGTTCCATCAAGAGCACTTGATATTATAAATGAATAACAATTACAAGGTATAGCCAAAAGGCCTGTTATTGATGCCATATGCCCTGGCAAATGATGTAATAAAGGATTCCTGCTTGCTGATTCTTCCACATCTAACAAACTTCAATCAAATTGAATCCAACAAATACATCAATATAATCCTAGTACTTATAATATTTAGTTTCAAAATTTGAATAAAATGAGAAAAAAAATTATTATTACCTTATCATGGACCAAACACACAACATACCATCAGCTGAACCAGAAACAAGAAGAGAATCATCATTTGAAAATATTATGTGTTTCACAGATTTGTAATGAGCTGTCCAAGTCTTCAACAATTTTCCATTAATCACCTAAAATCAATAGTTTAGGGTTTATGATTTAAAGATTAGGGTTTAGGGTTTTAGGATTTCCTACTTACATTCCAGATATAAGCATTTCCAGATAAACCACCTCCCACAAGGTATATGCCATCTTTTGTGCAAGAAAGTGGTCCAATGGCTTCCACTGTGTTATTCATAATCGGTTGTTGAGGCTGAAATATCGATCTCAAACTCATAATTTGCATGAGTAAAAATAATTATTATTAGGAGATATTATTTCATGTAAAAAGGGAAAATATTACCTTGTTCAAGGGCCATACAACAATGGATCCACCACCCATAGATCCATGTTTGTTGAACTGTGATGCAACAATGAACTGGTTTCTTAAACACAACAAACCAAAAGGTGGTGAAGAACATGTTGGAATGTGAAACATCTTTTCTCCTGTTTTCATGTCCCATATAGTCACTCCAATTCTCATGCTTTGATCACTGCATGCTACCAATGCCTCTCGTTCTTCCACCACCCTATTTCTCACATTCTCTTGTTCCATGTTCATCACACTGATTAAGATTAATGAAGAAAAAAGACAAGAGTGACCAAAGGAATTTCTTGAGAAGACAAAAGACAAAGATTTGTGTTGATAGTGTGTGCTTTTTATATTACCTCATTTGCACGTTTTGTTTGCTTTTTGATAGATTACTAGAAGGAGCAGAGTGATGAAGTGTGTGATTAATTTCTCTCAATGAAACACACACATCTCCACTCACTATGCATTTTTCATCACTCTCATCCTTCTAGTAACCTCCACTAGATGGTCATAAAAAGTATGTTTTTTTTTACAAAAAATTTAAGAGTCAAATAATTTATCTTATTATACTAATATAATATATTTTAATGCTATTGCTATCAATATTATACTAAAATTATATTAAATTTATGTTGTTGTTTTTAACAATTTAAATATAAAAAAATTAGTAAAACTCGTGTGTGTGAAAAAAATAAGAATAATGTGGGATCTGAATTCTCTGCAAAAATGTGATTTTTAGAAAGATAAGATTAAAGGATGCAATGACTAAAATGACCTTTAAATTACATTAACTGCAGGCGACTTTGTGATATATACATGTAGTGGATTAAAATTCAATAACATGTGTGTTGTGATAAGCACATCTTCAAATTAGTCGGTCCCTTACATTACATAGATATTCAATATATATATATATATATATATATATATATATATATATATATATTGATGTAGGTGACTGTTATCAACATGCACTTTGTGTATTTTTAAGTGGATTACATCAATTTGTGTATTTTTTTTTTATTTTTTTTTCTTCAGATTTTTGTTATTTAAGGGGGTTTAAAATTCCCCTCCAATTTACTATACAAAAAAATAACACTCAATCACAACAGACATTGTGTTTTTTATTTTTTGCTACAATAAACTAGCAGGGGTTTTAAACCCCCCTTAAATGATAAAAGTCTGGAAAAAAATGCACAAACTGAAGGAGTCTATTTAAAAATATACAAAAGTGTATGTTGCTAACACACACCTATATGGACGTGTGTTAGCATAACCCATATATATAGTGAGAATGAGTAAGTTATATGAGAATGTGATAATGAATAAGAACCATCGAATTTAAAAAAGAAAGATTGAGATTAAATCGTGATCTTCACTAAATCATGTGTCATTAATCTCAAATCAGAAAAAAAATGGATTTCGCTCTCTTCTCTCTCCTAAGTGTCATCGCAAAATTTTAGTGCTATTGAACATTCATCTACTATTGTCTGGAAGTATGTTAGTAGAAGGGGTTTCACAAACATCAAACCAAGGTGGGATATTTTTTCAGACTTAGGAGAAGGAAGGATGGAAGAGGTGGATAATATCGTTTTGATTTTCTTCTCAGACTTTCCAGATAGAATGAGTTCTGAGGATATGTTTGGGTTGTTCGGATGTGTGAGGAAGGGGGTAGAAGTGATGATTTCACCTAGGAGAAATAAATAGGGAAAAAGATTTGGCTTCGCTAGGTTTAGAGAGGAAGAGGATGTGAGGATGCTAGCAATTAGGTTAGACAATATCTAGATTGACGGGAAGAAGATACACGTTAAACCTCATAGGTTCAACCGGAATGAAGTCAAAAACAAAGTGGGGGTAATGGTGGCAGACTTGGCGGGCATAGTTACGCGAAAAAGGAGATTCTAGTGAGAAGAAATGTGGGTCTCTGCGGTGTCAATGGAGTGTTTTTGTTTGCGGAGGCCGTTAGAAATAATTCAGAGGGAGGTCAGCAGTCTTTTGAGGGTTTGGAATTTGTCTTTGAATCTGAAGACAGGGAGAGATTATCAAAGGCATATGTTGGAGTTTTCAACAATCCGGGTTCCACCTACAACATTCAAAACAGCTTTTACTTAGAAGGATATTTTGGGATAAAGGTTACTCCTCTTGGAGCTAACCTGTGTCTTCTCGAAGAATTAGATGAAGGAGAAATACACGACATAATTTGTGATGGTGAATCATGGTGGAGCTATTGGTTTAGAACCATTAGACCTTGGAGGGAGAGTGATATTGATAGTGAACGAGTTACATGGGTTCGCATTCAAGGAGTACCGAGTCAGGTGTGGCGTGTGGAGTTCTTTAAAAAACTGGTTAATTCCTTCGGAGTCTACGTGTTCTCTGATGAAAATATTTTGAAAAGAACTAGTATGGATGTTGGTAGAGTGTTGGTTAGAGTCCCTTTTGATTTCATTTTGAAAGAATCAATGGTGGTGAAGATTGATAATATCTGAAGGTGGAGAAAAACATAAGAAATGGGGGGTTTGAATTGTGTTAGTAAAAACTTGTTCCCTTTCTAAAGAGTTTGCGGAAGCCTTTGAGCAAGTAGAAATTAATAGCAATAAAGATAACATTCATTTTTATACAAGTTCACCTTCTCAACTAAGGCTACATCTTGTCCACCCTCCTCAGGTGATTTTGCCTTAGAAAAGGACTTAATCCACTAATCTTGAAAGATTACAACAACCTCTAAGAGTCTAGAAATACCATTTATCCCTCTCAAGTATACAGACTAGAAAGTTACTTGAGGAAACACCAATTCTAGAAAGAATTATTTTTCTGGAGATTTACATGAGTGTTTCTTATCAAGCAGATTTCTCCTACTTAGAGTACATATTGTTTTGCCAAACTTTTGAGCAACACCTCTGTTGTCTAAATTTTTTTACATGAAGGTTTCTAAGAGATAACACAATCAGAGCAACAACTCTTGTTTTTTGCATGTTTCTACAAGGTTGAATGTTATGGAGATTAAGTGTGAAACATCTTGTAGTCTTCTTATCTTCATCTTCTTTGTTAATTAAGCTGAACATAATAGCTTCTTTCTTCTTTTCTGATTTCTCTTGAGATGTGTTTTGATTTATATTTTTAATGACATCTTATTGAGATCTTCAACTTCTTTTCTTCAATTATCAAGACACGAGTATCGACTCATGTTTCTTATTGCTTGTTGATCCTTCATTCTTTATGTTGTTGTGATGTTTTTCGTGTAAGATTGAAAACCTTTTTGCAAGTAAGTTGTGATGAACATTTTTCTTCTTAGTAAGTTGTTTAACACTTTAATATGCTTAATGAAATATTACACTATAGAGCAGCAACTCGGTGTAAATATTACATTTCAAGTGTTACTACTTTGTGCTTGTGAAATTCTTGGTGCTGTTAAGCCACACACTCTTTCAAGTATAAAAAAGTTGCTTTATATAGGCTTGAGAGAATAATACTGTTGGAGCACATAATGTATTGTAACGTGTATATTGCAGTTTAATATGTTTTCAATGCAAATCTATTTTTGGAAAGGAGAGAATGTATGAAAAACTAACGCTCTAGAGGAGTTAATATAGGGAATGCGAACATACAAGAAGACAGAAGATTAAGAGACGAAATGATTTATTGTCAAAGAATTTATTGAAGGACAATTATCAAGATAATTGACTGTGCAGGTTTCTCTTGGAACAAAACAAAAACACTTAGGATTGGCGACTAAGACATAGGAGATAAAAGTATTTAGTAAATGATAGAGAAGGGTTAGAAAGTCTGGCCAAATTTAAAGAAGATATGATTGTCTTCTTTATTTCTTAGATAATATTCTGAGTGTTTATTCTCTTTATGAATCTCGTGGTCCTCAAGCTGATTTTAATCCAGAGCATCTGAGTGCTATAGAGTGATGCTGAGATATATTTAGCTTCTGCAGTTGAGAGTGAAATGGTTGATTGTCTCTTGCTTGACCAGGAAATGAGGTTTCTTCCTAGAAACTGATAGTTTCCAGAAGTACTCTTACGTTCTATCATGTCGCCTGCATAATCTGCATCACAGAATCCAAACATGTTTTGCTCTGATGTTTTTACATAAATCAAGCCAAGGTTAGATGTACCTTTCAGATATTTGAGGATTCTCTTAACTACAGTTAGGTGAGTCTCCTTAGGATATGACTGAAAGCGAGCACATAAGCAAAAACTATATAGAATGTTTGGTCGTGAGGCTGTAAGATAGAGAAGAGAGCCAATCATACCACGATATAGCTTATGACAAACCTTTTTACCTTTTTCTTCTTTTTCTAGAATGCATGTAGGATTCATAAGGGTCTTAGCAGGTTTACTTTCTGACATATCAAACTTCTTTAGAATTTCCTTGGTGTATTTTCCTTGATGAATATATGTAGCTTCTGGTGCTTGGATATTTTGAATCCCCGAAAAGTACTTTAATTCTTGCATTAAGCTCATTTCAAATTCTGCATGCATTAACTTAGAAAATTCTCGACATACAGATAGATTAGCAGAAGCAAATATAATGTCATCAACATATATTTGACATATTATAAGATTGTTTCCATTGTTTTTACAAAAGAGTGTTGTGTCCACTTGTCCTCTTGAAAATCCATTATCAAGTAAGAAGGAACTTAATCTTTCATACCATGCTCTGGGAGCTTGTTTGAATCTATATAAAGATTTCTTTAATTTAAAGACATGTTCTAGAGATGTTAGGCTTTAAAAAATAGGAGGTTGATGAACATAAACTTCTTCAGAAATATACCCGTTTAGAAATGCACTTTTAACATCCATTTGATATAACGTGATATTGTTATGAACAACAAATGAAATGAGTAGACAGATTAATTCTAACCTGGAAACTGGAGCAAAGGTTTCATTATAGTCAATACCTTCTTGTTGATTGTACCCTTGAGCAACTAGTCGTGCCTTGTTTCTGACAACTTTAGCTTTCTCATTTAGCTTGTTTATGAAAACCCACTATGTGCCTATAACGTGAACTCCTTTGGGTTTGGGTACCAGATCCCAAACATCATTTCTGGAGAATTGACTTAGTTCTTCTTGCATTGCCAGGATCCACTCATTATGTTGAAGTGCTTCTATAATTGATATTGGTTCAATTAGAGAAACTAATCCTAGAATGGTTTCCTTATGTTGCTTGAAGGTGGATCTTGTTCTGACAAGTTCTATCTTGTTTCCCAGAATGAGTTCTTCAAAGTGATCTTGTCT